GAGTCGGATCAGACTCGACAGCACATAACAACAACATCAGAGGGACCAGTCCCTGGAGGAGGACATAATGCTTGATAAAACAGAGGGTCAGCAAAAAAGGTGAAGATCCTCAATGAGGTGGATTGAAGTAGTAGCTGTGACAGTGGACTCAAGCGTGGCAACAATTGTGAGGATGGTGCAACACTAGACAGTGTTTCACTGTGTTTACATATGAGTCAAAACCAAACTGTTGGCACTTGAAAACAACCCTGTATCTGAAGTATTGAGTATGTGCTGTGCATGGTGGAATATGAGGCAAACTGCCTCTCTTGCAGAAAACTGCTATTTCCAAAAGAGTTGAATCTTTACAAAGTCTCTTATGTTACATAGCACTCTCTCAATTACTTACATACTTTATTTTGAAACACAGAGTACTGTTTGAGGACACCTTAGCCTGAAACAACCTCAGTCACTTTGAGTTTGGATGCTTTTAGAAGTCACCTGACAGAAATAAAAGGAGGTAAAGAAAATTAACATGGATTTAATTATATTCCATGGAGGGGGATCTGACCTCATAATTATAAGTGTGGAATATTGTTATAAACAAGCCTTTTAAAGATCACTAATAAAAAAGAAGATAGTAAGTGGTTACAAAAAGATGATTATAGGGTGATGAAAAAACTAGCAGCCTTAATGATATAAATAGGTTTTTGTGGGTTGGGGTAATGTTTCCAATGACAACATCCTCCATTCATAAAAAGCTGTATCCAAAACATGGTACCTGGATGGTGAGGATGACGTGCTCAGGATGATTCACCTCAACCCTGGGGCTGAGGAAGGCTTTCATGTTCAGGATGCACGGGAAGGGTTTGAAAAAGAAGTTATCTTGTGAACTGTGAGTGGGACAAATAGTATTTTATGATTAATTAGCTTTAAAGAATTTAAATATGTAAATATAAATACATTAATGAAGGCTACAGATAGTTATTTGACTGTTTTCACTATATCCCTAAAAATTATATATTCATGTTGGCACAGGCCATTGTTTTGGAGCTTCTCATTATCCAGTTGCCCTGCATATGGGCAAACATGTTCCTAATTTTCTAGGTTATGTGGTAATGCTTCCTGCAGCTCTGGTGATAGTAGGGGACTTGGCAGGGAGAGGGAAAGGATGGAGAAGGGGCATTTTCACTCCCCCACCCTCTCTTTTTCTCAGCTTCCAGCACTTTTGCTTCACTGCCCCCCGCCAGCCAGCAGACCCTAGACTGCGCTGGGTTGGGGGCTTCTGAGGGTGCCAGACTCTGACTTTGCCCCCATGATCTACAAACCCGTCTTTGGCATAGGTGGCATGTGAGTTTTGACGCATCCTTGCAGTGTCTGTGCTTTGCTTCTTGCTGCATAAGGTATATTCCATGGAACATACTAATTTATTTTTAAGTACATTTGTTAATTTGAGTGAGTTTCACCATACGATGTTTGGAACAGTGTGCTGAGTACAGTTTGTCCTCATAAATCTAGTAATGCTGATGGGATGTAATTGTCTCCTGTGAAGCTTTGAGTAAGGTGGGGTGAGGGATAAGCTGGCTGCTGATTTCCCTCTACCGCCTCTAGCTTGGATGTGGCAGGCCCTACTCTCTTTCTGTGCGTGTAGTGGCTCGTATCCATGCTTCCTCCTCTTCTTTAACGAATACAGAGGCTTCCATTTCTGTGAGAATCCTCTGGACAGCTTCCAGCTTCTTGTCAAATTCCAGCTTCCAGTGGTGGTTTGGAGGTATAATGAGGCTCAGAGAGAAAAGCTGGCTCCTGAGTGAAGGCTGATCTGTGAGGAGAGGGATTCAGGAGACCGAGGAGAGGGAAGGAAGCAGGATACTAATGGGAATCACTGAAGCATGTTTTTCATGCTTGTTCCAGGCTATTCTCACAGTAGTCTTAGAAGACAGATGTTATCATTCCTTATTACCCTAGAAGAAGCTGAGGTTCAGAGAGGTTTAGTAACTTACTCAAAGTGCAGTTCATTCAGATTGGCAAACTTATATTGATGGCCTGTCACATTGCTGGATGCTGGGAACAGTATGGAGCAGTCACAGCCTCTGGCGTCAGGGAGCTCCCCACTCAGCAGAAGCAGAAGCAAAGATCTGTAGAGTGAGTCAGTCAAGGTAGGTGAAGTGCCTGTGTAATATAGGGCACAGAGGAGGCTGTGACTAATTGTGGGAGGCTGTGGGAATGTGGGGGCGGGGCATCTAAACAAGGTTGGAAGCCTGGATAGGAGTTTACCAGGAAGATGGGACTGGGAAGGAGATGGTGGAGATGGGAAAGGGAGTTCCAGAGAGTGGGAAGAGCAGGCCCAAATATAAATGAACACGGAACATCAAAGTCTGGGCAGGTGGCAAGTAGGGGGCACAGGTGATAGTTTTTGCTGGTTAAGTCCTGCCCAAGCACAAGAGATCAGGAGGGAGGGAGAGGTGGCTAGAGGCCTCTAAGCTATAAGTCTTGGTAGGGAGTGTAGAGTGTAATCAGACACTGAGGGGCCACTGAAGATTTTGAAGCCAAGGGGAGAAATAGATTTGTGTATTTGAAAAATTGCTCTAGAGACATGACAGCTGCTGGTGTGGAATGGGGCAAGGCCTGAGGTGGAGAAACCTGCCAGGGTTGTTGATGAGCATGCAGCCAGGAAGTCACGGGCTGCCCAGAAGTGTGAGGAAGGGGGATGGAGAGTGAAAGGTGTGCAGGAAGAGAAAGACATCATTTGGTGTTTGTTTTGGGAAATAGCAGGGACTGTCTGAATTTATCATGCGTGGTTGAAAGGGCAGAAAAACGTGAAAATAAAAGCAACAGGAAATGGATAAGGAAAACAGTACATTAGAGGAGAAATGTTTAAAATTTATTTTTTTCAAAGGACTTTATAAGGAGATAGAAGCCCCTGGTTGGCACAAAAAGTTAAACACTTGGCTATAAACTGAAAGGTTGGTGGTTCAAATCCATCCAGAGGTGCCTCAGAAGAAAGGTGTGGCAATCTGCTTCTGCAAGGTCACAGCCCATTGAAAACCTTATGGATCACAGTTCTACTCTGATACACATGGGTCATCATGGGTTGGAATTCACTCGAGGACAACTGGTTTGGTATTTTGGTTTTATAAGGAGATAACAGACTTGAAGAGTTACCTAGAACAAGTTAGAAACTGGTGAGGACTAAAGTGGAATGAAAGTTTTTCTAAGTTTAATGGTGGTTTAGAAATTTAAGTGGACCTAAGGAAGAAAGAAAACACTTAAGTAAATTAAGGGTAAAAATAGCTTTTTGGCCAAAAGTAGAACCAAAAGTAGGGAAAAGCAGATGACTTGGTTTATGCCACTCCGGGGCCATGAGAGAGGGTTTTTCTCGCCATTTGATGCCAGAGGACTCTAGAAGTGTAGACATGCAGGCTAGGTGGTAGCCTGCATTGGGGACAGGAAGGACCCTGGGCAGGGGGAAGGGAAAGAGCAAAGGGTCAATGATCAAACAGAAGGTCCCTCTCTCAGAACTTTCTGGGCACTGCTCACATCCGTCTCTTCTCCTGCTGGGCCACTGACAGCATAAACAAACCACCCGGAGTCCACGCAGCCTTACCTTCTTCCTTTGTTGGCACCCTGTCCAGGTGGGTTCTTGGCCTGGAAGTTGGCAGAGGTGGCAGCAGTTGGCAGCCTCATGGGTTCTTCCTGTCCCTTTAGCAACCAGGGAAGAGGGAGGTTGAAAGGGGGTTGTTAAAAGATCTCTTATGAAGCTGAAGGAGGAAGAGCACCCATGCGTCTGATTTGGACCACATTTATTGAAGGCCTCTCGTGTGTAACAGAGTGTTCCAGATGTTGGGGGGGGGGGGACTCGGGGTAAGAGAACACCATGCAGTATGCATGGTAGTTTGGTATGTCTGACAAGGCTGGGGCTGCATGTGTGATGGGTTTATAATCTTCAGGGATAATGTCTGACAAAGGAAATCAGCTAATTAGGGCTCTATTAACAGTCTTGTCAATTCTAATTGCTAGTCTGCGTTGATATTTTCCTCTTTTATCATTACTTTAAGGAATGAGGATGCATTTACATCGGAAAGGATGTGGGTCTTGGAATCTGGAGACTAGGGTTCAAATTCTGGCTATGCTACTTATTAGCTCTGTGACTTTGCACACGCATAACCTTTCTGAGTGTCTGTTTTCTCATTTGTAATTTGGAGGCTGCAGTAGTGATATCTGCCTCAATGAAATTATAGGATCGTCATGGGAATTAGTGTACATATGTGAGCATGTTTCATAAATGCAAATTTCTATTCAGCAGCTGGTGATATCTCTATATTGTAGAGTGCTTTGAGAAGAGCAATAGGGAATGGTTATTTCTTTTACCTTTCACAGTACTTCTAAAGTGCCTGGTATACTCAAGACATGCTGGTTGGGTCAGTGGATGAGTTTGCTATAGCAGTAAGCATTGTCTGGATGACGTTTTCCAGTGACCAGACTTTCTCATTGTTCACAGTCTTAGACGAGGGACATGGAGTTGGGGCATCTGGCCTGCCTGGGGACCATGTGATGGGCTACCTAGATGCAGCCATGCCTGGGGCAGTGTCAGTCACCCAGACATGCAGAAGGATCCTGAATTTCAAGACCAGACACTTTGATGTGGTTTCCAGGCACTGAGCACAAAGCTTCCTTCAAGATGGTTCAGCTTGAGGTTCAGGAAGAGAAAGCAGACTGGGGACTCTTCCCATCCCCCTGTCTTCCCTCTGACTGCTCTCCCACCCCATTCCCCGTCACACATGCTGCACACCCTCTCAGTATGTGGTGCCGTCGTCCCCATAGCCAGCCTCTGTGCTGTGTTGACTGACTCCCAGTTCCCCATTTTCTTAACTCAGTTAGAGCTCCCACCCCCATCCCCTGCTTGTGGACATTGGAGGCCATTGTCTGTCTGTCTGTGGACTCAGGTGTGTGTTGGTGTGTCCAGAGCTTGAAGCTAGACCTGATTGCTCACTCCGTGACTCTCTCCCACCCACCTTCTGCAGGTCATCTTCCATGATGTTGCCGTGCTGACAGACAAGCTCTTCCCCGTCGTGGCAGCCATGCAGAAGCACTTTAGTGCCGGCTCAGGGACCTACTACAGCGACTCCATCTTCTTCCTCTCGGTGGCCATGCATCAGATCATGCCCAAAGGTAACCCAGTGTTTGACTTCTGTGTTGGCTTCCCTGACTCCAGCACTGCCACTGACTGCTGCCACTGAATATACACAGATAGAGCTCTACTGAAATGTGAGGGAGCCAGCAGAGCCCTTTGTAGAACAGAGCTTCCTGCACAAAGAGGCAAGGGCAGGCCCTGGGCTGCACAGCTCCTGGGGCCCATTCACAAGGACACAGTGTGAGTTGTGTGGTGTGGTGTCCTGGAGTCAGGGGATCTGGCTCAATCCTGATTCTGCCCCTGGCACACATCCCCTCTGGGGCTCAGTTTGCTCATCTGTAAAATGATAAGTTGGATTAGATGATCTGCCTTCCAAATCTGTGATTCCATTCTTTCTGGTTTGAACTGGTACTTAAAATCTTTTAGAGTTATATGTGAGTAGGTGGCACAGTGGTTAAAATGCTTAGCTATTAACCAAAATGTTGGTGGTTTGAATCCACCAGCTGCTTCTCAGGAGAAAGATGTGACTTTCTACTTCTGTAAAGATTACAGCCTTGTAAACTCTGTGAGTCAGTTCTATGCTGTCCTATAGTGTTGCTATGAGTTGGAATTGACTTGACAGCCACGGGCTTGTTTTTGTTTTTTTTTTAATTAGGACTTTTTTTTTTTTTTTTTAATTGTGATTTGGGTGAAAATTTACAGAGCAAATTCACTTTCCATGCAGCAGTTCACATACATGTTGTCTGATGACATTGATAGTTTATCCCAATACAACAGCTCCCCTCCCACTTCCTCCCAATAGTTACCTCTTCCCTGTGTCCATTCCTCCATGCACTCCTGCCCCCTGAACTGTCTCCCAGTGCATAAACAGCCCTTCTTTCTCCAATGATTGTTCTCTCCAAGGAGTGTATCTACCTCAGGTACATGTTCAACTCTTATGCCTGTCTTTTATTTGGCTGGAAGCCACAGGAGTGGGTTTAATTCCAGACCTGAAGGGCAGCTAGGGGCCATAGTCTCAATGGTTCTACCATGTTCTATCAGATGAGCAAACCTGTTCTCCCTTTTTTTTTTTCAAATGATTTTGAATTTTGTTACACATTGCTTTCCCTCTCTATCCAGGATCTCCTATATAGATCCCCCTCTGAGTGGTTGACAGTGGTAGCTGGGCACCATCTAGTTCTTCTGGTCTCATAGTCGTATAGGCTGAGGATTGCATGGTATACCAGTCACAAGGACTAATTGTTTCATGAACCTTTGGTTTTCTTCATTCTTCTTTGCTCTGGATGAGGAGAGACCCATTGTTGCGTCTAAATGGCTGCTTGCAAGCTTTTAAGATCCTAGTCGCTACTCGCCAGAGTAAGAGGTGGAACAATGTTTTGTATAGTTTGTTATGCCAATTGAGCTTGATGTCCCCTGTGACTATGGTCCTGAGCCCACAGGTTCAACTACTTGGTTAGCTGGCTGTGACCAAGAAGTGACTGCAATTGTCAGCTCTACTATGCCCCTGGGAGTTCTTACAGAACATACACATACACTTGTAGAACCATTGTCTGCCAACCATATACATGGTCTTGGGTACACTCCCCACTGCATAGAGATACCTAATAGTTTAGCCTGTTTACCCATCTATCCACCCGTTAACCCGTGTTTGCCTTCACTGACAATGCAGTACTGTATGTGCAAAAGGGTTCATCTTTGTTGTCTGCACCTCCCATGTACCTCTCTATGTCTTCCTCTTCCTCAGTGTCACTGTGTTGATTACTCACATTTGGTACATTACCCTTCTCTTCACCCAAATCAATACTTATGTCTACCTATCTAACAGTGTTCCCTACCATACCTTCCCACCCCTGGTAACCAACAAAGAAAATATCCTTCTATATATAAACTGTTCCTTGACTTTTACAAAATGGACTAATGCAATATTTGTCCTTCTGTGATTGACTTATTTCAGTCAGCATAATGCATTAGGACTTTTTTTAAAATTGTGATTTGGGTGAAAGTTTACAGAGCAAATTCCTTTTCCATACAGCATTTCACACACATTTGGTTTCATGACATTGATTGCAATCCCTGTAATAATAATCCTCTTCCCACTTCCTCCCTGTGTCATATTTCCTATGCATTCCTGCCCTCTGAGCTATTCCTGCGCAAATACTGTCCTTCTGATCTGCTGTGATTGATTGTTCTAAGGAGTGTACCTACCTGATGTAAGTGCTCACCTGACATGTCTGTCTATTGTTTGTCTGGAAGCCATGGGAATGAGTTCAGCTCCAGGCCCAAAGGGTGATGAGGAGCCATAGTCTCAGGAGGTTTACCACTGTTTAGCGACCTGTAAGCCTGTTTTTTTTTATGACTCTGAGTTTTGTTCCACATTGTTCCCCCACTCTATCCAGGATGTCTTGCATTGATCCCTTTCCAAATAGTTGACAGTGGTAGCCAGATACCATCTAGTTCTTACGGTCTTCTGGTCATATAGGCTGAGGTTCACATGGTCCACTAGTACCTTGGAAAATTGTTTCCTTGCTTCTTTGATTTTCTTCATCTTTCTTTGTTCCTGATGAGGAGAGACCAATTGTGGCATCTAGATGGCTACCTGCAAGCTTTTAAGACCCCAGTAGCTACTAACCAAAGTAGGATATAGTATGTTATGCCAGTTGAGCTTGATGTCCGCCACAACCATCGCCCTGAGCCCATAGGTCCAACAGCTCGCTCTATCAGGGTAGTTGGTTGCAGCTAAGAAGTTATCATAACTTTGCCCCCTTTTAGTTCTATATATATGGACATTCTTACAGCACATACAAATACGTATGTAGAAATATAGTCTGCCAACCCTATGTGTGGTCATGGGTATGTTCCCTTTTGTGTAGACATACCTTATCATTCAGCCTGTGTATCTATTTATCTACCCACAGGTTAATGTTTGTTATTACTGGTAATGCAGTATTATATGTGTAAAAGTATTTATCTCTATTGTCTGTTCCTTTTGTGTACCTCTCTGTCTTCCTTTTCTATAGTGTTATTGTGTTGGTCATTCACTTTTGGTATATTGCCTTTCCCTTCACCCAAATCAATATTGTGTCTTACCTATTTAGTAATTTTCCCTCCTCTTTCCTCCTATCATGGATAACCAACAAAGAAAATTTCCTTCCATATGTAAACCTTTCCTTAACTTTTTACAATAGTGGACTAATACAATATTTGTCCTTCTCTGATTGACTTATTTCACTCAGCATAATGTCTTCCAAGTTCATCCATGTTATGCAGTGTCTCATAGAGTCTACGTTATTCTTAAGTTTTGCATAGTTTTACATTGTGTGTATGTACCAGAGTTTGGTTATCAGTTCCTCCATTGATGGGCACTTAGGTTGTTTCCATCTCTTTGCTATTATGAATAGTGCTGCAATAAGCATGGATGTGCAAATATCTATTGGTGTCTTTAGGACTTGTTTTTGAAACTGATGTACAGTTAAGAGGATTTTCTGGGTTTCTGTGCCTCCAGGGAAGAAGAGATGGGACTGTCGAGTCTGTGGTCAGTCTGGTTCATGTGAGAGTGCAGGGGATAGGCAGATCCTGGGGCTGGATGCCTTGGGGCTGGGGGGAGGGCTTATTCACAACTTGTCCCCTGTTTCTCGGGTCTCTTCTGAATGGCCCTTAATTCGTTTTGGAGCCAAAGTGAGCCTTGACCTGAACCTATAGGGGGTGAGAAGAGGAGTTCCAAGATCTTGGGAGCAGCTACCTGAGCTATGGCTGGTCAAGTTTCCAGCAGTCCCCAGACCAGGCAGGACCTGATTGCTCAGGAGACAGCCCGGCCATTTGGTGGAGGCCTGCTTCTCCAGCTCAGCAGACCAGAAGGAAAAGAGGACTTGTCAGGACCCACCACTCTTTTAGGAGGTCTGGTCCACTGGGAGCTGAAAGCTGGAGCTCATTTGCAGTTGTCAGTTTGTCTACCGCAGGGAAAATCATTCACGTTCATTCATTCTGGCTAGGAGTTTGCCTCCACAAGTCAAGTCCCTATACCCTGGAGGCCTCCAGATGTTCTGCTAATTATAAGGCAAGGGTTCAGGGGGCTGTGTTGAGATGGGGTCTGAAGAAGACAAGAGATAAGCTCACAAAAAAGGTAGAGGGAAAAGAACTAACCTTTATTATTCTTTATAGTAAACCAAGTTCAATTCTGTTCCCTTATCCAGTACTCCCTTCAACCCTGTGAGGTTATAGATGAGAACTGATTGAGGAATTAAGTGTCTCGCTCAGGGTTATATAGCCATTTCAGTGACAGAGCTAGGATTTGAACACAGGTTTGTCTGACTTGGAGGCATACTTTTCCCAACGGTGGTTACTTCTCTCCCCACCAAGTGGCCTGTATGTGACCTCTCTGGGCAGGTCCAGGCAGGTTCTGTGCGCTACTCAGACTTAGCATAGGGTGGTTTCTGCTCTCCTAGATTCTAAGTGGAGACAGACATAGGTGCTGGTCCCAGCTCTGCCACCAACCACCTGTGTGCCTTTGACTGAGCCACTGTGTCTTGTACTCAGTTCTCTCACCTATAAAATGCAGAGGCTTCACCAGTGAGTGGTTTCAGCTTGTATTCTGAGGAGTCCAGGGCTATAGGAAACCCCTAGGGGTTTCTATAGTTCTGGGGAGTTGGGGTGTGAGGGATTCTAGTCTAAGCTTACCTCTCTTTCCTTCCCTCCCTCCTAGTAGTCCATCTTGATCTACTGAATATTAGGTTTTGGGACCAGGATTCTATTTGGTCTCAGCGTTCAATGGCTAAACAGATTTGAAATCACTTGATTAGATGGCCCTTAAGGCATGGCCAGAGTCCTTGGGTGGTCCAAATGGTTAACAGCTTTGCTCAGCTGCTAACTGAAAGTTTGGTGGTTCGAGGCCACCCAGAGATGCCTCAGAAGAAAAGCCTGGTGATCTGCTTCTGGAAATCAGCCATTGAAAACCCTATGGAGAGGAGGTGGGGCAAGATGGCGGACTAGGCAGAAGGATTGCACAGACCCTCTTCAACAAAGAA